TGGCGGGGCGCCTGGGGGGCTCAGTTGGTTGGGCGACTGCCTTCGGCTCAGGTCATGATCCTGGAGTCCCGGGATCGAGTCCCGCATCGGACTCCCTGCTCTGCAGGGAGTCTGCTCCTCCCTCTGACCCTCCCCCCTCTCATGTGCTCTCTGTCTCTCTCATTCTCTCTGTCTCAAATAAATAAATAAATAATCTTTAAAAAAAAAGAAAGAAAGGGAATTGGGGAGAGTGTTGATATTTACTCTCAAACCCCAACATAATGTAATTGCTTATAAAGCAAATTTGAATGCTATCAGCACTATCTGAAAGCACATTGCACAACAATGCATAATAATGTGTGTATAAAATGCTTATATATATATATATAATATTTTAGCAAATAAAACTAGTCACCAGTAAATTTAGTAATTATACTGGATTACCTTTAAATATGTCTTAACAGATGCCATAGGTTTATTCTATTTATATCCTTTTGGGGGCTCTTCTACCATACCACAATTTTCCTATATCAAGTCCTTTACAGATTATTTTTTGTCAGAAATTATCTTGCTTAAATCTATGAATGTTTCTCATTTCATTCAGGTCTTTCCACAAATGCCATCTCCTCAGAGAAACCTTCCTTGACTGCTAAATAGAAAGTGTCCTCTCGCTCACCCTTACTTCCCAAGCCTTTACTCTATTGAACTTAGTTTTCTTCATTGCACAATAACTCTCTGAATTCATAATATGTTTTATGTGCATTTTTAACCTTCTCTACTAAGGGATTTTGTCTTACATTGGTCTATGGAAAAGACCACCAAGAACACACCTGCAGGGGTACCTGGGTGGCTCAGTTGGTTAAGTGTCGGACTCTTGGTTTCAGCTCAGGTTGTGATCTCAGGGTCGTGAGTTTGAGCCCCACATCAGCGGGGAGTCTGCTTGAGATTCTTTCTCTCCTTCCCCCTCTGCCCCTTCCTCATGCTCTCTCTTTCTCAAATAAATAAATAAATCTTAAAACACACACACACACACTGTTGTAAGGAGGGAGGATACACATCATATGTAACCAGGATGTTTTAATAAGAAGGTGTACAGAAGAGCTTGTTATAGGATTTGGGCTTGTGTAAGGAGATTTTAGGGACTGTGTAAGAATGTAGGGTGTTATCTGGATTGGCTGCTTAGTCTATTTGATCTGGTATAACAAACTTTTATAAAGTGATTGGTTATAAACAACAGAAATTTATTTCTCACAGCTCTGGAGGTTTGAAATCTAAGAACTAGATGTCAGCATGGTCAGGGTCTGGTAAGAACCCTTTTCTGGGTAGCAGGTGGCTCTTTTTTCACCATATCCTTATAAGGCAGAAAGGGCAAGAGAACTTTCTGAGGTCCCTTTTATAAGAACACTACTGCTAATCTTGAGGGCTCCACCTTCATGCTCTAATCCCATCCCAAAGGCCCCACCTTATATTACCATGATATTGAGGATCAGTATTTCAACATATGAATTTTGGAGGGATGCAAACATTCAGTACATTCCAGGCTATTCCTTTGATATCAGGGCTGTTTATTTTTTCTTTCTCAAGGGCATATCAAACTAGGTCTTGGAGCAAATTCTTTCACACATTCAGGCATTTATTAATCAGATGTTTTCTAGCAGGAAGCATGAAAATAGTCATATAATCTATTCTGTAGTCACCACGAAGTGCCAACTCTGTTTTTTGAAGGCACTCATCATATTTTATGAAAATTCCACATTTGGCAGAAACAATAATCCAAAGACAAGAGTCTAGCTCCCTTTATGAAGCATCAGCAACCATAAATACTACTTTAAAAAAATAGGTTATTAAAGGCCTATTTGAGAATCATGACTTCAGAGCCATCCCTTAAGAAATAGGGTTCAGGCCTCTTGGGCCTCAAAGCCATATATATAAGTGATGGGCAGTGTCTCTAAACTGTTTCACGCACTCCTTCTATTGATATAATTAATTTCTCCAATGAAAAGCTTATTTATCTTACTAAATAACAAGTTTCTTTTTTTTTTAAAGATTTTATTTATTTATTTGACAGAGAGAGAGAGAGGGAACACAAGCAGGGGGAGTGGGAGAGGGCGAAGCAGGCTTCCCGCCGAGCAGGGAGCCCTATGCGGGGCTCAATCCCAGAACCCCGGGATCATAACCTGAGCCAAGGCAGACACTTAACTGACTGAGCCACCCAGGCACCCTAACTGCTAGTTCTTAGATAGAACAACTTCCAGTACTGAAATTATGATTCTGTAATATCAGTATATAAAGATAAATGCATATGTAAATAAAGTATTTAGATATAAGTGAATGTATAATATTTTCATGAATAATAATTACAAGATTGTAAATGTATTTGATATTTACTCTATTGTATTGCTTTGTTGTTGTTTGGCTGCTGTAATACAGGCCAAAATAATGAGTTGAATAAGTTCATTTCCGCCTCTCATATTGCTCTGAGTGTTCACAATGCCATTCTGTTATGGCAGAACCTAGATGGGTGTCAGAGCAGAACTCTTCTATTTTGTCGTTGATTTCTTAGGCTCCGAACATTACTCATCAATTCTCAGTTTGCATTATGTTGTGATTGATTGGCATCTGGATTGTCAGACGATATGCTTGTGTCCTGGGAAGAAGGCAAATGCAAGTATATGATTTGAGCTTCATAGTGGAGGTTAGACCTCACCCCACATAACTGTTCTTCCTAGTTTAGTCCACAAACTGGGAAAAAACTCGACTCTAGAAAAGGAGAGAGAAAAAGGAGTTGGGATGCTATTATCCGAGACTGGACCTCATGATGAAGAGCTCCTTCCCTTTGATAAATAGTACATTTTTTTTTTTTTTACTACAACACATTTTATTTCACTGGAAAAATCTGTATGAAGAACCAAATGTGGTTCCTGTGAAGAAAACATTTAGCACAGCTTAAATAAAAGTGAAGAAAAGAGGGAGGGGAGGAGGGCCCTGCTTGTGCTCGCTCCGCCACTACCTCAGCCTGGGGCCCGCGGGGCTGGAAATCCCAGGTGTCCCGGGGAAGTCCCTGCTGGGCCCTCTCAGAAGGCCTGGAGACACCCCTGGTGTCTGAGAGCTGCTGGGGCCCTTAGCGAAAATGTACGATACACAGACTGCAGACGAGGCCGCACTGGTCTTTTCAGCTACTCAGACACAGGCAGGAACACTTCAACTAGGAAATAAAATATATATAATTTATCAAAAAATAGTTCTAATATATAGAAAAACATTTCAATCCTCTGAAGCCTCTGCCCCTTATTTACATTCACAAAGCCACTGACCAAACCCAGGACTAACGAGGGAACAGTGAGGCAGGGACTCCCTGGTGAGCATTTCAGCCGCCTACTGCCTAAATAGACAGAACGAGAGAAGTTAAAGGAATAGCAGAGGTTTTTTTTCCCTTGCTCTTTTTGTGACAGGATAGAGGGGAATCACTGGAAGTGAAAGAAGCAAGACTTCGTCTTGGGTCAGTTTCGACTCTGCACAAACCCCAAAACAGACCTTTGAAAACTCAGACCAATGTCCTGGGTCCTTGAGAACCAGTGTGAGCGAGTGGCTGATGTGAGTGCTTTGTTGCCATGGAACCAACGTGGCTTGTATTCTTTTTTCATTTTTTTCCCTCAAAATCCAGATGGATAAGGTAGTGGGTGGGGAAAGTACCAGATAATTGAGGTGATGGGGAGGGATCATATGGAGCGGATACTACACCAGCTTCTTGGCCTCAAAGAAGCTTTTGAGGTGACGCATCTGCCAGATACCAGTGAGGATGAGGATGACCGTCTGAGCAATAGACCACCACAGGACCCTCTGGTTGGTGCTCTCGCTGGTAAGACGGAAGCGCTCTTCGCGATACCTCTGGTAATCCTGCTCCTTCTGTCTGTTCCACCTGATCAAGCAGCTGGCGGGCTCGGAGCTGGAGCTCGGTCAGTTTGTCCTTGGCAGCAATCTCGGGGTAGTTGTTGGCATGCTCCCCAA